ACCCCCCCCGAAAAAAAAAAAAGTGTTTCCCGCGTTTTCAATTTTTTCAAGTTTTACACTGAAAACGCTCAAAACGACAAAAAAGTCGTTTTGTGTTTTCTTCACAAATTTTTTTTCGTTTTCGAAAACGGGAAAGAGAACACGTTTTCACCGTTTCGAAAAATCGAAAACAGAAAACGACCCGAAAACGGTAAAGAGAACAGGGCCTAAATGCTTACATTTTATTAAACAACAAAAGAAAAGGGAAAAAAAATACATAAATAAAAAAAGATCAGAAAAGGAAAAGAAATAGAAAAAAACAAAATTTTCCTTAAGCACCACTCTCCATACTGCGTGACCAGGGGAAGTCCCTTGGTGTTTTATGCAACTAGGGTTTTACCCTGGCTTTGCGGCCGCAACCATGTGAAACCTGCTAGAAAATCCGTTGGCCCTAACGCTGAATTGGCAATAACGCCTTTCTTCATCTAGCCTGAAAATGTGATTGCATGTGGTGTTTCGGTGTAGAAGTAGCAGTGACAATGGCAGGGTGTTGGTGGGTTATGAGGAAGAGTAACCTTTTTGCTCTTTCTTCTTTTTCATTTTTTTTTCCTCTGTTTATTTGATTAATTGAAGGTTAGGGACACAAGGATAGCTACTATGTCCAAAGGTTGACGATTAAGCCGTGTTTGGTCCTTATTTTTTAAAATTCATTTTTTTCGAACACATTTTTAACCACACATTTTATCGGACCCACAACTTTTGAACTACACATTTCATGAACTTTCATCAAAATCTACTAAAATATTTTTGGCCAAACCAATCAAGGGATAAAATTTCTATTTACCCTAAGGGTGCGTTTGATTACAAGTAGGAAAATTACATGGAAAGAAAATGAATTTCAAGGAATTGAATTACCAAGAAATTATTTTCATGGAAATTGTAAATTATTGTGTTTGATTGTATAAATTTTTCACGTGGAAAATGTTGAAGTAAAAGTATTTTTTGATATTCGTTTGACTTTGTTTTACGTGGAAATTGTCAATTTCAGGGATATCCTCTTTTACAATTATTCCTAAAATTTTTGTTAATCATTTCTCCTAACTTCTCCTGAAAGTAATTTTAGAATCCTGCTAAAAAATTCGGGGCTTGGGATATTGCTTACCTAACTATAAAAAAATGATCACTTTTATAATGAATGTTTCTTTTCTCATACAAAATTTTTCACTATCAGATTTAAAGCTGCAAGTAGTGAGGATTCTGTTCTCGTACAAATGATTTCTTGTCTTAGCACCGATAATTTATTCAATTTCTTGGTTCAAAGTCAATTCTATTTAACATCCTTTGAGCGGCACAGAACTAATTTAAGATCAAACGGGCCGAAGTTTTTCTAGATGCTAAAGTGACTCTTCTAAATAGTCTCATCAATATGAAACGTTGTATTGGTGAACAAAGTAAATGCAGATTTTATCAATTTCCAAAGAAAGACTAAGGTGGCTGGGAACTAATTCTGAGTTAATTGGGACATCCACTATCTGTTGACGGTCGGTATGAAAAATAGATAGTGTCTTGTTCTTGTACATTTTCATTATTCTCTTCTTTTACAGATTCTTAATCATTTCTCCTAACTTCTCCTTAAAGTAATTTTAGAATCCTGCTAAAAAATTCGGGGCTTGGGATATTGCTTACCTAACTATAAAAAAATGATCACTTTTATAATGAATGTTTCTTTTCTCATACAAAATTTTTCACTATCAGATTTAAAGCTGCAAGTAGTGAGGATTCTGTTCTCGTACAAATGATTTCTTGTCTTAGCACCGATAATTTATTCAATTTCTTGGTTCAAAGTCAATTCTATTTAACATCCTTTGAGCGGCACAGAACTAATTTAAACGACGATGTTCCATAAAACAAAAATGTGAATCTAAATGGTTGATAGTACCTCAATTTTAACCCCAGTTTGGGCTTCATTTTCAACAACATATTTTTCCATAAAATAATTTTAGACATAAACCCAAAATTTTTCCTTAATTTTTAATCACATTCTCCAAAAAATTACTATTCGAAAACATATTTTAACCTAAAAATGGATCTCAAACACAGGCTTAATGTAGTTGACTTTTTACTACTTAATCATTTCTCCTAACTTCTCCTTAAAGTAATTTTAGAATCCTGCTAAAAAATTCGGGGCTTGGGATATTGCTTACCTAACTATAAAAAAATGATCACTTTTATAATGAATGTTTCTTTTCTCATACAAAATTTTTCACTATCAGATTTAAAGCTGCAAGTAGTGAGGATTCTGTTCTCGTACAAATGATTTCTTGTCTTAGCACCGATAATTTATTCAATTTCTTGGTTCAAAGTCAATTCTATTTAACATCCTTTGAGCGGCACAGAACTAATTTAAACTACAATGTTCCATAAAACAAAAATGTGAATCTAAATGGTTGATAGTACCTCAATTTTAACCCCAGTTTGGGCTTCATTTTCAAAAACATATTTTTCCATAAAATAATTTTAGACATAAACCCAAAATTTTTCCTTAATTTTTAATCACATTCTCCAAAAAATTACTATTCGAAAACATATTTTAACCTAAAAATGGATCTCAAACACAGGCTTAATGTAGTTGACTTTTTACTATTTTTACCGTGTCGCTTAAGTTATATAGGAATGTTTTTCGGAGTCTTTGATGACCCTTAGCTTTATCTATTTTTATCTTGTTTTGTTGACATTGGATTGTTTTACAATATTTAGTTTAATGAATCATATAATGAAAGCGTATTTAAATTTCCTGTTTAAACAGTAATGGCATGAGGGGATCTGAACTATTTTAAGAAAACTATATGGTGTCATTTTATGGATATTCTACTGTGGCCTAAGTTAGTACTCAGCCCATGGGCAGTTAATACTGATAATTTCCAAATACAATTTTCCATAAAACAAAAATGTGAATCTAAATGGTTGATAGTACCTCAATTTTAACCCCAGTTTGGGCTTCATTTTCAAAAACATATTTTTCCATAAAATAATTTTAGACATAAACCCAAAATTTTTCCTTAATTTTTAATCACATTCTCCAAAAAATTACTATTCGAAAACATATTTTAACCTAAAAATGGATCTCAAACACAGGCTTAATGTAGTTGACTTTTTACTATTTTTACCGTGTCGCTTAAGTTATATAGGAATGTTTTTCGGAGTCTTTGATGACCCTTAACTTTATCTATTTTTATCTTGTTTTGTTGACATTGGATTGTTTTACAATATTTAGTTTAATGAATCATATAATGAAAGCGTATTTAAATTTCCTGTTTAAACAGTAATGGCATGAGGGGATCTGAACTATTTTAAGAAAACTATATGGTGTCATTTTATGGATATTCTACTGTGGCCTAAGTTAGTACTCAGCCCATGGGCAGTTAATACTGATAATTTCCAAAATATGGGAAATATCCTTGGGGGTATTAGGCCCTTGCAATTTTTTAGGTGTTTGAAGTTCCATTTAATTCTTTATGATGTTTTGTTATAGCTTCCGTTATTTTATCGAACGTTATTTGTGTCAGTTCAGGGTTCCTCGTCTCTATCTCCCTGTCTCAATAATATATATATATATATTTTTATTTTATTTTTTTTGGTGAAAAGTGGGGTTCAGGAAGAGGAGGAAATTGTGTTTTGTCAAACTTGATTGTTCAGTGCGTTAAGCTTGATTGGCTAACTTCTCTTTGCTTGTCTTTCACAGTTTTTCTTCCATAGTGCTTTATCTATTTTTATCTTGTTTTGTTGACATTGGATTGTTTTACAATATTTAGTTTAATGAATCATATAATGCAAGCGTATTTAAATTTCCTGTTTAAACAGTAATGGCATGAGGGGATCTGAACTATTTTAAGAAAACTATATGGTGTCATTTTATGGATATTCTACTGTGGCCTAAGTTAGTACTCAGCCCATGGGCAGTTAATACTGATAATTTCCAAAATATGGGAATATCCTTGGGGGTATTAGGCCCTTGCAATTTTTTAGGTGTTTGAAGTTCCATTTAATTCTTTATGATGTTTTGTTATAGCTTCCGTTATTTTATCGAACGTTATTTGTTTCAGTTCAGGGTTCCTCGTCTCTATCTCCCTGTCTCAATAATATATATATATATTTTTATTTTATTTTTTTTGGTGAAAAGTGGGGTTCAGGAAGAGAAGGAAATTGTGTTTTGTCAAACTTGATTGTTCAGTGCGTTAAGCTTGATTGGCTAACTTCTCTTTGCTTGTCTTTCACAGTTTTTCTTCCATAGTTTGAAGTTAAGGAACTTTATACAACCTGATTCTAGTTAACTCCAAGGAGAGCAGAATAATAATTTTTTTTTTGTCTGCAGCATTAACTCATTTTAATGTAAACATTGGTTTATGTTAAATGATGTAGCCTGTTTTGTAGGACCTACTCGCGAAGAGTTAAAGTAATGTTATTGAAGAACCTCTGGACACGCTTTTGCTTGTGCTGACTTTCCTTCAGGTTCAGAAGGAATTGAGATATTATCCTACCTACTTTCACTGGGTACTTTTCTTTTCTTGAATTCGTTTGTTTAGGATGTTGAAAAATCTCTCTTTTGCGGCAGAATTTCCAATCTTATATGTTATTTCCCTAGAATTTTATGACTGGTATCCTCAATATATCGTCTTGTGTCGTGGTCCCATTTTGGAAATAACTATGCCCAACTCAAAATATTATTCTTAAACCTCTATAAACTCGTGTTTAAATAATTTCATGTTTGCTGTTAAACTCAATATTGTACGAGGAACAGTGAAGGAGCTTTGTCTGTGTTTGTTATCATCTAAGTATCTTCGTTAAACTTAGATTTTTCTTTCTCTCGCTTTCTATGTGTGCTTACGTGTGCGAAGAATATGGGGGGTTTCCCCCCAATGTTCCTGTCAAATCAGTCTTAAGAATTGGAGATACGTTCATGTGTGTGTGTTTTACAACAGTTCAAGATATATCTCAATTTACAATTGAAGAGTTAAAAAGTCGCACCAAGATAATTACTTGTGTGGTTTATGAAATTTTCCTGTGTCCTATCAGGTTGTGCATATTAGATGGAAGATCCATTGCCCCCATTGTCTAAGATCCCTAACATTATCTGTTAGGTTATGCCCTAATCTGAATCCCTGAAGCAATACTGAATCGACTGAAAATAGAAATGCACTCAAATTTATAGTGCCTAAACCTCAATCATGTTCCTTTATATATTATAGGAAACTAGGTCCCACAGTCAAGCGATAAGTGAACAACACAATTGGGTTCCACACCGTCCAACATTGTCAATAATAAAAAATCTATGATGCACCGGCACAGACACATATGTCCGACACGATACATGTCGGATACGTCGACACATGATTTTTCAAAAAAGTACCAACACGACACGTCGCCGACACGTTGATTAAAATCTTTAAAAATCTTCATTTATATAGTAGAAATTTAATTTTACACTTATTATTATTATTTTTTGTGAAAATCTTTTAAATATAAGTACCTATTTGTTATTTACTAATAAATTTGAGTTAAAAATATATAATATTTTTAATAAACAGTGAAAATGTTTATGGTAGAGTGTCCAAGGAGTGTCGGTATCGACATGTGTCCGACATGGATACGCTACCCTAATTAAAGTGTCCGTGCTATAGAGTAAAAAATTATGCTTACCGTTGTGTCCATTTATTTTACTAGTTATTAATGTAATGATTACATTTATATTTAACAAGCTGTGGAATTCTATGGAAAGGAAAAATCATAACATGAATAAGCTAGAGGCTTGTATAAGTTATACAAAATAATCAGGTAACACAAGGATTTGCTGTCTTAGGCATTCACTTGTACTCCCGAGTCATACGTGTCTCCAGGTTTCCAGTTTTGAGGTATGCTATTGACTGGAACTACCCATGTCTCGTCTCCATTGTCGTCACTAAATAACATCCTGATATTTTGTGCGTATTATGTCCTTCACATATTGACGAAATCTCACTTTCTGTTCCTTTATCATCAGAATTTGGGTAATAAGCTGCCCGAGAATGAACAAAACAATCTTGGCATGTATCAGCATTTCCCAGCGTATGCATGAAAAGAAAAGTCACTAAAAGGATCAAGAAAGATCGAAGGAAAGTCATTAGCAATGGAAGCAGAAACAAGGTATGCAAAGAAGATAAGTTGGTGTGCATGAACTAAATGACCGTTGTGATATTTATAATGAAAATAACTTGAAGACCACCTTGGGTTGGTAAAATATTTAGACTTTGACATTTTTTCAATGTTGTTTCCGTGAAACATCCTCCGCTCTTGTATATTCTTTTTGACCTTCTTTGCAATTTAGTAGATATCTTTGGCCTAGTTTATGGAATGCCAAATCTATACATCATTACACAGTTTTTGAAATGCCAAATCTATACATCATTACATAGTTTATGGAATGCCAAATCTATACATCATTCATTTTTTTACAGTATCTGCTGATTCTTATGGCAATACTACATTTTTGCAGTAGAATTCTTCAGTAATAATTACTAATGACATTTAGGGAATATTTTCTTTGATTAGTATAATTTGAATGTGTAAATTGGCAGAATTTGGGTGCCAAATTCTATGACACCAGTCATTTTCTTTTTCTGAATATGAATAAAAGAATATGCTGAAACTCTCTCTTTGCAGAAGTAAAACTGAAGTTGTTAAAGAGTTAGGTGAGTTTGCACCTAAGGATGCAGCCAGCGTTCTACTCTAGGGGGGAACCATTCAACCATCTGCATGTTGACATCTATATCTATCCATCATCCAAATAGGAGTTTCAAAATTGGAGGGCTGTTTTTCCTTAAACCCCCCACCCCCACCTTCTTTTGTGGGATTTTTTTTTTTTTTTTTTTTTAAGTGGGGGTGTGGGGGTCGCTGAGGTACCCTGCTCTTTAATTCAGATCAACTTATTTGGCCCCTGTTTTTTGAAATGAAAATGGGTGGAATAGGTTTATTTTTTTCATTTTTTTTTGAAAAATGAATGGTAAGAAGGAAAAATTTTCGATTTACGTGTAATATTATTTTGTGGAAAATTGTCTGATTGAAAATAGAAGGGAGAAAAATGAAATATAATTTGATGGGGGAATAAACGGGGGCTAAATGGTTTAACAAATTTTATTCTTGAAATGACATACGAAGGATTTTTCTTGATTGGTTATGCGTACTTTTTCGGGTTATTACACTTGGTTGATTGCTAAATTCAGATCAAATGAACAAGCTGCATAGAAATTGCAGTGTTATGTGTTGGTGTTTGTCTAAGGAGAAATCTCTGTTTCTGTTCCTTTACCACCAAGAAACGTTTTTGAACATCTTTTGTTTAGCTTTTGGAATTCAAAACAATATGCATCATTACGTAGTGTGAATTTGAAGATAAATATTCTTTTTTTTCAAAGTCTGCTGGTTCTCTCGACAAATTTTACTATATTTGAAAATTTATTGAACGAGAATTCTGCTGTAATTATTACTATGACATAAACAGCCTATTTCCTTGAATGGTATAGTCCGGTTTGAACGTGTAAATTGGCTTTAAGTTGTGATAAAAAATAAAAAACTAACCATTCAGTACTGTTGGATTGAACTGTTTCCTTTCACTTTCTTTCAAAAATGATGTCTTTAATGAAAGTAGCTCGTTTCGTGTTTTCTCATCTGCAATGACGACTATTTCTAGAAGCGTGTATTCTAATGTTAGTTGTTTCAATCTCATCTCTAAAATCGAATTGTAAAAGGTGGTAGGGCTTATTGTAAGCCCATGAGTCTTGCTTTAAAGCATGTTTGGGAGTTGCCTATAAATTTAGATAGATGAAAATGAAGAGTGGATTAGCACGTAGAATTTTTTGCTTCGATGAAATGTGTGAATAATAAGTGATTTGATATAAATAGCTACCAAGAATGCGATTAGCTTAGCTATGCTGATCGGACAATAGTTAGCGTTGCGACGATGGCCTCTTGTATGGAGAAACAAGTGGTTTTTGCCCATTGATTTCTTTTTCCAAATAAGTATTCCAAAATTTTCTTATGGCAGAAGTAAAATGTGAGTTTTTGAGTTAGGTGGGACTGCACCTATGGACGCAGCCAGCATTCTACTCCATTCTCTCTATGAGAGAGCGGCCACTATTCTGAGAGTTTCAAAATTGGAGGGCTCCTCTGTTCTTTTTCTTTTGGCTTTTGTCAGTCGTTCGATTAATTTCATCTACTCGAAGATTCTAAATAACAAAAATGATTAGCAACTACAGAAAACTACGTTACTTTTACTCCTCTTTTTACATATTCTATTGATTGCACACACATGGGCAAGAGTCCATGTAATGTTATGTTTCGACTGATTGAGTCATCCCCTTCTTAATTTATCCTTAATCGGTATCACTTGTTAAAATGCCTAGTAACCAACATATTCCCTGCATTGACGAAAATTTTCAAGATGCCAAAATAGACTGGCATAGAAGTGGGATGTCCCATCCCACATCAACCATGACATGGAAACCATTTGGGAAAATGGGACCATAAAAAGATTTATGAATAAATCCCCATGTACGGAAAAATATTCACAAGGAAATTACAGACGCCTCATATGGCCCAATTCCACGCAGGGCGTGGTGCAATAGAAAATGGCAAAAAAATAAAAATAATAAAATAAAATAAAAATCGACCCTACCCGTGTGAGACCCCTGTAAAGGGTCTGTAAAAGCCCAGCTCGGTTGAAGATTTATGGTCTTCTACTAATTGGATGTTTTCACTGTTCATTAAATTGCACAATGACGTTTTGCTGTTCATTTTGCAGCATCTACAGTCTCTTCTCAGGTTGCCCTTAGACCAAGTATGTGGGCTCGATCATATTCTTTCTATCAAGAAAAGTAAAAGAGGATGATCCAAAACTTCATAGAGGAAAATCATATCCTTTGTGATAGTGAATTAGTTTATTAGAGCAATTCCACGAGATGTTTCATATTTATACTATATGAGTAGATTATTTTTCCCAAAAGTATGACGGATGAACTGGGGAACAAATTTGACTGTCCATATAGCAAGCTCTCTTTGTTGCAAGCAGTTGCTTCAGTCGATGGACTCAATATGATCTTCGTCAACCTCGGCTTTGCAAAGAGGACAGGAGGCGTTGATCTTCAACCACTTGTCTACACACTCCCTATGAAAGAGATGAGAGCAAGGCAACTCCCTCAGGTCATCATTGTTCAAGTATTTCGCCTAGCAAATGCAGCAAATCTAGAGCACACAATACAAATTAGTTGGAACCTTGTTAATGAATTGGGATCACAAAGAAAAAGGGTACAAGTATCCTACCAAATTGAAATTGCTTCGGAAATACATTCCAAGACTCACGTCAATATTGACTATCTAATTTTTATTTTCAAACGGAATAAAATGAAAGCAAACCAAATCTAAGACCCAATATTTACGGAGTACGAAAACAAAACCATTAGAATATCCTTTTATGAGAAGAGTATTGTTCAGAACTACATCGCAGAAAAATTAATAGTAAAGAAATTCTTCCCATCAACTTAAAATTTTACAGTTAGCACCTATCAGCTTGCTATTTCTAGGAGAAGAAAAGATTAGATTCACAACATAAATGCCTAAAAACAGAACAAAATTTCTAACTCCTTGCAGCAAATTCAAATTATAGATATTTCATGAATTGGCAAATAAAATTGTAAATAATCATTCAGTTTGCGGAAAATTTTCCAACCTTTCAGAAGTTTTACTTGACAACCATTTTGATTGATATCCTGTTTTGGAATTTAAGCAATAGAGAATGGAGTTGAGCATAGAAAGCTATCGGAATATGCTGTGGTATTCATCCATCAAAATAAACGATCTCGTACCTTTTACATTAACCCAAAAAAAAAAAAAAATTGATAAAATTCAGAGAATCAAAGATAAGAAAGACAATGAAGTTTACCGCATCCTCTCCTGATATCAAATGCTCATTGTGGCCAGCAGCCACTATCCCACCTTCATCTGCATCTGGGTTACACTTGTCACCACCATTCTCGTTCTTCACCTTAAACTTATAAGTTGGCAGAGAATTAATTAATTCTTGAGAGGCCCCTCGATAATGAATCAAATCCTCTGACGCCGAGGATTGAGATTAGACAAGGTAGGCAGCAGCAGATAGCCACACATAAAATAAAGGGCATTGCGTATCCAATACAACTCAAGGTAAGAAATACTATACATGACCTGTAAGGAAATAAATACATCACCAAAGTATATAAAAGAACTACACAAATATTGGTATGAAGCTGCAGAGTTAGAATGCGCATCAAAATACCTGTACAAGTTGGGAGCCTCGGCAGATGACGTGTGACCTCCGAAAACCCAAGCATTACCGACTACAAACCAAACGACAAAGAAGCAATCTAAAGCCATCTTGAAGTATTCCACAAGGGCTCTGAATCTGTACAAATACGCTTAAGAGTATTTAGCTCTCGCTGTACAATAAACTTGTTGATGAAGACAAAGCAATGCAACATTTCTAACCAAAAGTTCAGCAAGTCCACTTCTTGTGATGCGGCAGTGTTATGAATTGACGTGTAAAACGTTTTAAGATAAATGCAGCGGAAAGAATTGACTTACCTCTGAATTTATTTTTAAGCCTCTATTTGGCAAAATTTATAAATCATTTACAAAGGGTCAAACTTGTTTTCAACTACACATTTCAATGGACCCACAAATGCTATCCAGTTATTCAATACTAATTTCTGACTATTTATAAATCAAAACCGTTCATAAACCAAACGGAGGTTTATGATACGATTCCACCCTTGCGGGTATATTCGAGGAAAAAAAGGAGAGCACGTGACAAGGAGTAGATGGCAGAAGACCAGTTCCAGCTGCTTCAGTTGCTGGGTCTACACGATGAAGATGTGGCTGAAGAATAGTTCCACCTCCTTTCATAATTACCTGCACGTTCCAGCACATTCTCATTATCTCCTACTTTCTAGGAACTTAGTTATGTTTGTTAGCAAATAATACACCAGGATATGTACTATAAATATCCTTGGAATTGTTTTAGTTTTATCATCTTGAACTTGTCAATTGAATTTTCTTATTGGAGATTTGTCCTCTCGAATTGGACAGGGATTTCATTTGTATTTGTATCAAGATTTTTGCAGCTAATAAATATTCTATTTGTGTCTTATAATACTGCCCCTATCATTTTGGTATCAGAGCCCATACGGTCCACAATGGTGAACACCCGCACTTCCGCCTCCCAAAGCCTCCCTCCACCCACACCGGCCAATCCAGTTACCAATCAAGCATCATCCACCAACCAAACGGCTAACCCTCCCATCGATTCTTTCACACTTACTACTATCGCTGCTCGATTAGAAGCCTTGGATACTTTAGCGGCTGCTGCAGCGCTCAAGGCTCAAAACACGGGGGCTCCACCCGTAAACACCCATTCCGGCGGCTCCAACAGAGGCAAGGCAAAAGAGATTCCCCTGGGACCACGGGAGAAAGGCAGATCTGCTTGGTCGGAACCCGAATATGATGACATGAAGAGCCCCTAGTGGCAAAGGAGTCCTGCCCGTCGCCCCAATACCCATACTAAGATGGAATTCCCGAAATTTGAAGGCGGAGATCCTCGTGGTTGGATTTTAAAAGCGGAAAAGTATTTTCGCTACTATCAAACTCCGGACGAACTCAAAGTTGATATCGCGGCAATGTATCTCGAAGGCGACGCTCTTGATTTATTTGCTTGGATTAATAATGAGCGCACTATGTTGTATTGGGAAGAACTTGTCAAGGCGAACTATGGCCCAGCGGAGTTTCAAAACCCAGACGAACATCTCTGCAACGTCCGGCAAACAAGGACTTTATGAATATTGGCAGGAATTTTCAAGAAGGTCTGCTTGCGTCTCCAACTGGCCAAAACATTGCCTATTAGGGGTGTTTTTGAATGGGCTGAAAGATGAGTTAAAAGCAGATGTTAGAATCCATAAACCCAGATCAGTCTACAAGGCCATGAGTTTG